TTAATGCACAATTTAACACAAGTTAATATTAACCGTAAGAAATAATTCAAACTTTTATGATATTTTTAAGTGGACATTTAATTATTGCACTTCAACAAGAAATTGACTCCCAAATCAGACAAATTAACCCATTATTAAATAAAAGATTAAAAAGAGGCTTGATAAACGGCATTGGCTCCATAATTATAATTAAACAAATCACCGGCAATTTAGACCAAAATGATGCAGAAAAGTACGAAGAAGCATTAACTACCTTATCTGAAAATCAATTCTTAAAAATCAAATTACATTATTAAAGTAAGCAACTGATAGTTTTAAAAAATATATTAATATACTTTTAAATAATCAAAAGGCAATTCAATCCAAAATTATAGAAATAGAAAATTTAACTCAAACCACAATATACCAAAATAAAGAAACTCAATATTATTTACTTACTCAAACAACGTTATCGCATATTAATTTGGCATTTCAATAAATTTATAACATATTTGAAAGAATAGAAAATTTAATAACATTTTCCAAACTAAATGTATTTCACAATTCCATCGTAGAACCAGAAGAACTCTTAACCGAATTAATATTAGTGAAAAATCAACTTCAAAATAAAAAATTACCAATTAACCAATTTTGTAAAATATATTTGAAAAAATTATTGAAATTAAAAGTTACAGTAAAGGAAATAAAATCGTGTTTCTTATAGAAATACCAATAGTTGAGATTGATAATTATAATTACTATTATATGTATTCTCTTCCTGTTCCAAGAAATCAAACCTATAAAACAATCCTCCCAAACTCTAAATTTCTTATTATTAATGAGCAAAAATATTTCAACTTTGAAGAAAAATGTAAACAAATAACAAATGCTGAATTCTTATGCCAAACCAACTGTCGAAAAATTTGAAACAACTCACCCTAATTAAAATCTTAAAGTACAAAAATCCAACAAATTGTCAAGAAATCCCTGTCATCATAAAAACTCTAAAAATTCAACGTTTAGAGGAAAATCAATGGATAGTCGTCCTACCTCAACGTCTTGTCGCGATTCAAAAGTGCAGTTCGAATACAGAAAACTACCGCTTACATGGAACTTACCTTTTTGAACTTAACTCTGAGTGCGAAGTGCAAGTTAAAGATATTTACATTAGAAGCTCTAAATTTAGTAACATAAAAAGTAAATTTTTCTACTCCTATTACGGAATTTGACCCTTCTAATATCAATTTTATCTATGGAATGACATATATTCCGTAAAGTGTTACAGAATGAAAAATTCTATCATCTGATGACAGAATAAACACTCGTGGCGACATCTCTGTTTTTAATATATCTAACAAATTTTAGACCGATCCAACCTCACTTTCTTCCAATTAAATTATTTTTCTATGGTATTTTTTGGAAACGTAGAAAAAGTATAGTCTGAAACACGTTTGGAATTGCATATTCCGCTCTCGTGAAACCGTCAAACTCGCCTTCGGCTCGTGTGACAAACTCTTCACTCGAGCTGAATATGCTGTATTCCAAACTTGTTACAGAATATACTATTATAAATCTACCTAAATTAAAGTTTAAAAACATGTTATCTATTCTACAGTACATTTTAATAACAAGAGTGTTTGGACAATTTTAACTTATATATTTCTGATTTTATTAATAGCAATTTTAGTATGTAAAAAACTAAAATTGCTGGCGTCTTGCATATTTATGATTAAGATGCCATTTGGGGATTCATTTTTTGGGCGAAATTACTGTAATTTGTTTGAGTGGTTAGGATAATGTTACATAACTTACATTTACATTGCGCACTAGTGATAACTTATCACTGATAAGTACCTACCTAATTGGTAATAAAGTTAAATAAAAATATTTGTATCAATTACTTTGCCTCCGTTTTTCTTTAATTTCGTTCGTGTTCCTCACCAGCATCGATAGACAGCTATTTCGCTCTATGGAGCTCGAGGTGCTGTATGGTGCAGAATACAAACGAAATTATGATTCCTTGTATTCCTTATATAGGTTTTGGAATCATTCACTGTGGTGAGACAAAGTTAGTGGTGCCATCTACCGTCTTTCGACGTGTCTTCTATATGTTTATGACATTTTACTGTACTTTAAAATATAGCGTGCTTTACGCCATCTGTGAAAAATATGTATTTGCCTTGCTGGCTTGATAATTATTTAATTTTTGTTTACCATACAACAATTTGTTAAATGGATTTTACGATTATCTTGTGGTATTTATTTACTTCGTCTCCGTTTTTCTTTAATTTCGTTCGTGTTCCTCACCAGCATCGATAGACAGCTATTTCGCTCTATGGAGCTCGAGGTGCTGTATGGTGCAGAATACGAACGAAATTATGATTCCTTGTATTCCTTATATAGGTTTTGGAATCATTCACTGCGGTGAGACAAAGTTAGTGGTGCCATCTACCGTCTTTCGACGTGTCTTCTATATGTTTATGACATTTTACTGTACTTTAAAATATAGCGTGCTTTACGCCATCTGTGAAAATATGTATTTGCCTTGCTGGCTTGATAATTATTTAATTTTTGTTTACCATACAACAATTTGTTAAATGGATTTTACGATTATCTTGTGGTATTTATTTATAAATTAATTCGTCTCCGCTGTTTAATTTCGTTCGTGTTCCTCACCAGCATCGATAGAAACCTGTTTCGCTCTATGCTCGATGCTGGTGAGGAACACGAACGAAATTAAACAAAAGCAGAGACGAAGTAATTGATAAATAAATACCACGAGATAATCGTAAAATCCATTTAACAAATTGTTATATGGTAAACAAAAATTAAAAATATTTTTGAAAATTTTATGCAAAGATATCATAATCAAAACCACAACATTCAACAGAAAAATGTAACAAACAATAACAATAATAACTCAATATTTCGTTGGCCCTCTCCTAACCCGTAATAATTCGTTAGCTCTCCTGGGCATTTCCTCGACCAGTTCAGAATAGCATTTACCAATTCATTAAATTTTCCATGCGTCCTTCCCTCTCTTTCATCTTCAGTTTCATCCTGCTCCACACATGCTCAATAGTATTCATATCCGGAGACAAAGGTGGCCAATTCATTCTCTCAATATGGTAGTCGCTTAAATACTCATTTACGATATTGGCGCTGTGCGGACGGGCATTGTCGTCCACCAACACCAATTATTGGCAACATTTTGAGCATAAGGGACCACGATATTACTAACAACCAAATCTCTATATCTCTCAGCATTCACTCTTTCCATTCCACGCCAAACAGTCACTCCTCCACCTCCAAAAGCCACCCTTGCCTCCCGTTTCGTGCAATCGTCTGCGAACCTTTGATTTGGAGATGATAATTCCCGTAGCTGCAGCCTGGCAGTCTGGCATTGGCATTTTAATCATTTTAAGGAAGAATGGAAGTATCCTGGGTAAGATAGGGGTAGGTATGTAGGTAGGTAGGTATAACTTATTCAAAAAAAACTTCGAAAACTGAAAAAATCAAGAATGTTTTTTTAATGTTTTTTAAGAACTAATTTTCATCATTTGATCCTCGATTTGATCATTCAGCGAAATGATATTAAGGTACTAGATGCAAAACACAGTAAGATTGAGACATTTACCAGCCCGGAATTGTTTTCGAATCTTGATTTTCGGTGATTTTGGTTTTATATGAAACTTAAATTTGACAACCTAATCAGAAGGTCAAAATTATGAAGAAAACATGTCACGAACGTAAATATCGGTTCAGGTTTCGAAAATTTTTACCAAAATGTTATTTTGGTGGTCTTTGCTTAGGCCCTCTGAAAATAATGGAAGTTTGAGTTTGTTGCTTGTCGCTTGTTCAGAATTATTTAAGGAAAAATCGTTCACCATCTTATCTTCTTGTTCCTAAAAAGAGTATTGCCTACAAAAAAGCCTTAAATGTACTCTTTTGGAAAAATATTTTCGTTGCTAAGATTCTAATTTGAAAAATTTGAAAAACGTTTCAAGGTAAGACATAATACTACATTATTTCAAAGTAAAAACGAGATTTTTTTTAAACGGGGCTTGAATGAAGTTATTGAAAATTTTAACCGTTTAACATATCACCCTGTAGGAAATTTACGTAACCGTGAGCTTCATATATATATAGCATGGATTGCCAGAGGTTGAGGCTAGCAGACATCACAGACCAAAATAAAATCGTTCAAGAAACAAAAAAGTTATGTCATTTTGAAAAAGAAGGACCTTTTTGGTCGCGACACATTGAGTGGTGCGCAGTTTATATGAACGATATTTAGCTCGTCAAAGCGAAAATTATACCGTGCGATCTGGAAGGTTTGTTTTAAATTTTTGCAAAAGTAGCTCTGGATAAAATTAAAAACTACTTATAGTTTTATATAAATATTATTATATTTTTAAAAGAAAAAAATTTTTAAAATTTATACTTTTTAAAATAAAACTCATGTTAGGGCCACAAATTTAATTTGCATTTCTAAGGTAACATAGCTAGAAGCGGCCCTAAAGTATTTTTTGGGCAGTCCACGCCAAATCGTGGAAATACATAATTGCCATTTTTTAATATTTTTTAGAGGGTAACAAACATGATTTTTTATAAATATAAGAAAAGTAATAATTTTTAAAATATTTTTTTTTATAAAGAGTTATTTAGTATATAATTACCATAATTAATTATTGTTACATATTACCAATTTATAAAAAAAAATAATTTTAAAATTTTAAAGATATTTTTCAGCCTCCTCCCATTGATAGAAAAATGCTTAAAAAGTGTTTAATGTACAAAAGTTTAAAATAAAAATGTTTAAAATTATGCATTTACAATTTTTTTAACCGAACATTAAGGGTAAAAATGATATATTATAAAAATGTGAAGAAAAAATTGTATAACTTTATCCATTTAGACAAATAGCAAAGGGTATATAAGGGTATATACTATATATATATATATATATATAAGTAATATTACTTAATAATTTAACAGATAATCGTTTTAATTTAACTTACTGTTTTCAGCCCAGCATCCAGGTTGAACCACACCACCGTTAAGAAAAAAATCCACATGACCACTATTTTCCGCCTTTCCTTGTGCAAAAGCATTTGTATGGTAAACATCAACAAATTTTGCATCTGATTTATCCAATTTTTCATCTATATTTAAAGTTACAAATAATGGGAGTGCAGGGTCCAATCCAGTAATCCTTGGAAGAATATATGGACGTAAAGATATTGCAATGTAATTTGGAATGTGAGCCCCTTTAAAAAGTACAAAATAACAATTGGTATTAATATCAAAAAAAGAATGCTAAAAAAGATACCGAGGTACGTACTATGGTAAATTATATAAAAAAAATATATTTTCTTACCTAAACTAAAACCAATGAGGTGAATTTCTTTTGCACCAGCATTTCTAATTTGTCGTATTAGCTGTGCAGTGCAGGATCCTACATGTCTAGCATTATGAACTGCTCCTAGATAGCATGGAGATTTTGCGAGTGGAGCCCAATCAACAGTAAATATGTTATATTTAGTAGTTTTTAAATACTCTAAAATAAACAAAATGTATTAATAATATAAAACGTATTTAATTTTATACGTTTATAAAAATTCATGGTTTTTACCTTAAAGGATGATATACAGACCGACAGGAACACCAGGAAATTGATAAAACCACCTTCATTATTTAAAAATATATGAGAGCCTAAACATTAAGTTTTTAAACTTAAAAATAATAGGTTTACATTAATTATATTCTTTTAAGTAGTATTATATAGATTAGATATAATTTACAGAATGTTCAAAAAATGGTTTAATTGGGAATTCATGTTTTATCTTGCTGCATTTTAGGAATTTTACTTCATCAATATGCATGCGTTTGGAAAACATGTGCAACAATTGAATATCACCACAATTCATTGATTGTTTTCTGTTGACATCACACCATAGACAAAGATTAATTAAAATGGTTAAAATTCAAAATTAGATTCTGTCATAAAATTTCTGTTAAATATAGATATGTATTTCTTTAGTGGGTAATACTATACTAAGTATACTTCACAAATCGTACACCTATTTTGACTTCAGGGTTTGGATTCACATGAAAATTTTTTTACCGCTTCTATTCAGTAAATAAGCAGATACGTGTATCAGGTTTTCTGTAAAAAAATTGTGTTTTCAGAGATATGTTGATATAAAGTTTTTATGAATTGCGATAAAACGATGAATTCTCTTCTACATAAAACCCATTATCTCCGGTTCTACTGATCGGATCGATTTTGTTTTTTTTTGTTTTAAACCTTATTGAATAGGCTTTTCAAATAAATAAATTAAATTTTTTTTTTAAGTTAATAACAGATTAATTTTTTAAACTAGTTTTTCATGTTTGCCCCCTCTATAAAATAAAAGGAAAAAAATACTATTTTATGCGCTTTTTCTTTATCTACAAAATACATTTTTCAGAACAGTGGAGACTCTTTTGGATCGGAAGATATTAAACATTTTCGAGCGCGTGACAGGACTGTCAAGCGCGTAATATTCAAACGTATTAGTGCATGTGGCGGGTGACGTGATATTTTGTATAAGAGTGCCATGATTCGACATCTTTTAATTGGTGACTTATTTGTGAAAATGTCAATTCTGCCAGTTAATAAATTTACTCATTAATTGGAGTTTGTATTATTTAAAATTTAATTTATTTAAAATTATTGAAAACCTTTAAAATCAGAATTAATTTACAAAAAGCGCTGGTATTTTTTTAAAACGATGTATGAGTTTACACTATCCTAAATGTGTTAGCGTTTCGAAGATGTCGGATTAGTGGGTGTCCATTAATTACGTGAGTAAATTTTAGCGATTTTTTGACCCCCTCCCCCCTTGCTGAGATTTCGTGAGATTTGGCTCAACCCCCTCCCCCTAATCTCACGTGAGATTTTAAAAAATGCTTATTTTTAATGTTTATACGTTAAACTGCTTGATTCTGTTGGGTTTATTAAAAAAACATACTTTGTTAAAAATTACGTGATATTTGCCAAAATCCCCCCTCCCCCTTACGTGAGAATTGATGAGATTTGGCTTGACCCCCTCCCTCCCCTAAACGCCTCACGTAATTAATGGATGCCCCCTTACGGCTTGTACCGGTCACGCGCTCGAAAATATTTAATATCTTCCGATCCAAAAAAGTCTCCATTTTTCTGAAAAATTCATTTTGTAGAGAACATAGAACAGTATTTTTTTAATTTTTTTTCATAAAGGGGGCAAACACAAAAAATCTGTTTATACAAAAAAAAATATTTTTTTCATATAAGAAACAAAATACAAACTTTTTAAATATTTATCTAAAAAGACTATGTAATATGGTTTAAAATAAAAAAAAAATGAAATCGATCCGATCAGTAGAACCGGAGATAATGAATTTTAAGTACAAAAGAATTCAGCATTTTTTCAAATTTTATCAAAAGTTTAAATCAATATATCTTTGGAAAAATAAATTTTCTGCAAAAATTCCGATATAGGGGTCGGCTAAATTTATGAAAAGATGCTGTAAAAAAAAATTAAGTCATTTTTAAATTTGAAAAAATATGTTTTCTGTAATCCGTACGATATGTAAAAGAATGTCTCATATATGAATGTTTTGTTTATAAAAAGCTTAAAAAATGAAAGTCATTTAGCCTGCGTGTCTGTCCCCTGCTAAAGAAAACAGGCATAGGCAGACGTAAATTCCGGATAAAATATAAGTCAAAACCGGACAAAAGCAGATGAAAATCTCATCCGCCTATGCCTGCGGTATGCCCGCTTTGCTATATCCGCGATCAATCGAATTTATATGTTTTTTTCGTCCGGTTAGTGCACCATCGTAATCATCCCCAATAATCCGGTTTTGCCTATCCCTACAAACATTTCGTTCATGTCTGCACTAATCCGGTTTCAACCGCAAAGGTCAGGTTTCGTCTGGTTTTATCCGGGCTTGTCTGCAATTTGTTTGTTTGCTTTTATACGCGCTTGCACGCTTTTCGTTCATCTGCTTTCGTCCGGATTGATCCGCAAATGCCTGATACATCCGCGATCATCCGGTTCGTCCGTTTAGTGCACCATCGTCAATCATCCACAGTTATATAGTTGTGCCTGTCTCTACAAACAATTTGTTCTATGTCTGCCCTTATCGGGTTTTATACGCAAACACCTGTATTTGATTTTAGGTTTTAGGTAGTGTGCTTTAGAAAACGTATACTTACTTAAGGTAGGCTGTCAAATTAAAATTTTATTAAGTAAAAATTGCGAAATAAATATAGAAAAAACACATTATGGAACAAAAATAGGCTATTTCGTAACATAAACGTAAAAAAGTATCCCAAATAAACCAAAAACCACAACACAAACAGCCAAAACAATAAACGTCAGCAAACTCACAAAAAAAAAATTAAAATATCGAACAAATAAAAAACTAATATTTAAAGCAGGCCACACACGTAAACACATAATTAAAATGGATTTTAGTGAATCGAAAAAACTTTTATAAGCGATTTATTTAATAAATTGAACACTAATATAACAAATCAAAATCTTGAAATAAAAGAAATCGCATCACAAGTAGTGGGGTTAAGAAAAGAAGTGCATAAAGTTCTAGACGGGTACGACCATACAATCACAGAACTCGAACAGCAAAACCTAAAATTGAAAGAAACTAATATACTGTTGGAAAGAAAAATAAGAAAAAACAACGTGGTTATTTTTGGATTACAAATTAGAGAAAAAGAAGACATTTTGGTTCACTTAATAAATTTCTTTCATTCAAACTTAAATTTAAGTATTAAAACATCAGATATAAACGATACCTTTAAATTGGGACCCAAAAGCAGCCTTACCGCCCCAATTCTCATTGAATTTATTTCATATCAAAAAAAAATACTGATCCTCAAAAACGCGTCTAAATTAAAAGGAAAATCAATATATATATATATAAATCCTGACCTTTGTCCTGAAGATCAAGAAATAAATAGGACCTTTAATAAACATAAAAAAGAAGCTACTTCCAAGGGATTAAAAGCAGTAATCAGGGGAAATACATTAAAAATTGGAGAAGACATATTCATAATTAAGGATCTGGAATCTCGTAATCTACCATTGACCCCAGAACAAGAACAAGAACTTCAACAAAAGCAAGCCAGTGCTCCTTCAACACCAAATCCTACATTGAGGCAAAAACGACTGCTAGAAGAGCTAAATTTGTCCCCAGATTTGGAAGACGAAAATTATACTGAATCCATACAGGAAACAAAAAAACCAAAAAAAATAAAACTAAACGATCAAATAAAAGGAACAACATAAAATTTAAAGTCTGATTCTTCATCCCGCATATATACCAGATCCACCGCACAAACAGGAACTCAAGCTAAATCAAAAAATCTGTGATATTTTTTATTGTTTTGTCTGAGAAATTTTGTTATCCATTTTTTACGTTTGGTAGTTATATTTTACATTTTTTAGTTATAGTGATTAATTTTTTATTAGATATTTACTAGTCGGGATTAATTTATTGTGTATGTTATACTAACAGATTTTACTATAAGTTGTTAACTAATTAGTTTACTTACATATTTTACTAACACTTTTAATAAATTAGTTTATATGACCAAAAGGAATTTACAGTATTTTAATACATAAAGAGATGCACCCTTACTTAAGGGAGTTTGATTCAAGTACAAATATTATCAAAATGAACACCTTGAAGTATGCATATGAATGTAATGAAGTATTTAAAATAAATTCCAAAAACACAAATTTTAAAAATCTTAAATAAATATTTACCAGAGCTCGAAATCTTTCTAGAAAAATTCTCAACAAAATTTGATTGTGTAGTTTTAACCGAAACCAGGCAAGTTGATATTAATTATGTAAAACTAGATGGGTACAAATTAATATCCAGTGAAGGCACAGTTAACCAAAACGATGGTGTCATAATATTTTTGAGTGATGAGTTAGATTTTACTTACAGAGTTGACTATATTAATCAGTGTAAAGTTTTAAATGTTAAAATTAAATTCTGTGAATTTAAAACTATAAATATTGTAGGGATCTATAGATTAGACTGTGTTAATTTAACACAATTCTTAATAGATATTGATTTATATTTTAAATTACATACAGCAAACAAAGATATTTGTATATTTACGGGAGATATAAATATAAACCTATTAAATCACACGGGTGCCTCAAGCGAATATATGGATATAATGGAGGAATACGGCTTTAAATCACTTATTAATAACATAACTCGGAAACAAGATAACGAAGAATCATGCATGACCATATATTTTTAAAAGCCAATAACAATGTATATAAAAATGTTCTTCCAATCATAGTCACCACAAATATAACAGATCACTATCCAACTGCTGCACAGATTATATTAAATGATGAAATTGAACCTGCCTTTGAAAGATTTATTAATATTATTAAAAATAAAATAGACAAACATTCAATATTTAAAAAAATTAAAAAAGAAAATAAAAAGCGTAAGCCATGGATTACCTCGGGCATAATAAACTCA